CTTATTCCCATAAGATGTATGCGATACGTTCTTCGAAATGTCGGTTAACAACATATTTACACGGCGCCACATCCCAGAAGACGGCATTCTTCATAGTCACCGCCGTGAAAACCTCAAATCTTACACAGTTTTGCTTTTATATATTAATGCTCAGTTGCTTCTGTATTGGGTATTACTTTCTCCGCTAGCAAAACACAAAAGACGCATGACAATACAAATTTACACTCTGTTTAACCACGACCCCGGTTACTGCTCTCACAGGGAACATCAGTTGTATAGACAGTGTCACGTAACTTGGAACAAGGCCCGCATTCCTAGTCAAATCCCGCGCATAGTTTGTGGTGGGAGGAGTTTCTTAACACTCGCTCTTCCACTGGCCGCCTGTCACTTCTCAAACACTCCACCCCCCTTGTTTGAAATTTGACTTCTGCGCATTCAAGGTTACTGTTGGCTTTGTTCGAAGTTACGTGACACTTGCTATAGCTGTAGTGGATAGTATAGGCTATAGCAACACTGCAACTTGAGGTACGATTGATGCAGCTGTGATCAGAGAGTACATTTACAGTGATTGTGAACCGGAACCGGAATCTTACATGAACTGTACAGAACCTGTTCCTATTAAATCGCGTTTGAGTTGATGTACCGAAAGCCGATTACAGTGGCCGCGCGGTCTTGAGGTATGAACGAACAGTCGTCTGCAGGAACACTGGGGGTTGTGGGTTCGAATTCTACTCAAGCAATTGATGTCTGTGTGAGTTTACTCTGCGTTTGTGCTGTTCTGTGCGTAGGAAGAGGCCTTGCGACGGGCTGATCCCCAGCCCAAGGAGTCCTAGTGACTGTGTATGGGATTAAGAAAGCGGCCAAGCCCAACAAAGGGGTGTAGAGCCATAGCTTTAGGCTGGGATCACACGAGCGCACAAAATGCGTCCGTTGTAACGCACGTTGTGACGTCCGTTGTAGAAATAAACAAGAGAGGCAAATGCTGCGCTTTCTTCTGGCTCCATTGCAGACAAAAAACTACGCACCGCATTCTGCAACTGTGTGATGTCCTCAGCAAAGTACGTTCGTTACAACGGACGTACTTCGTGCGCTCGTGTGGCCGCAGCCTAAGAGATGGGCCTTCTCGGCCCTTGCACCGCGACCTGCAGTGGTTTATTGTGCTTTAGAGCCATAGATAGACATGTACCGAAAGGAACTGTCAGGACACCATTACAGGAACGGGCAGGGAGTATCTCTGTCACAGCGTCACTGAGTGTTATGGGTATTTATAGGCTCATGGGGGAAATCATACGTAGCAGTAAATTATAATGGCAATAATTCTTCCGTGTAGTTGGGTAATGTTAAGTGTGTCGGTCATATCCACGAAAACAAATGGATGAGATAGTTAACAACTTTGAAGGTTGTTGTTTTTCTTTTCCTTTGGCGCTACAGCCCTCATTTGGGCCTAGGCCTACCTCCATCAAACTCTCCGTTTCATTTCGGTTTACTAGATCTTAAGACATTCGCTAGGACTCCTTGGGCGGGTGATCAGCTCGTCGCACCTGTACACAAACACAGAAAAACGCACACAAACATCCATGCCCTGACTGGAATTCGAACCCACGATCCCGGCTTCCGAGCGAACGAAGACGGTGCATGAATTAGACCGCTCGGCTACCGTGACCGGCTTGAAGGATGTTTACAGGGTTCGAATCTGTATATATGTTGGTCTAAGTACGTTGCTTACTCGTCACTTCTAGACAGTAACTGTCAGAAGCATTAGCGACGGCATCAGAAAACTCTTTCCTGTTATGACACTATTTCCAAACAATTCTTATACAGGATGATTCTAAATTATTGTCGGGGTTTTCGTTTATATGTCACAGAAACCCCGACAGTATTTAGAAACATCCTGTATAATGGGTCCCTTGTCATCAGGGCAGGAAGCGCCCTCAAACTGCACACTTAGAAAAGACGGTGGTTTACAGATACGAAGGGTCAAGATATGGTAAAGTTGTCCCTGTGCTTATTAAACACTACGCCATGAAGACGTAATGGGGAGTGGATGTATAGACCCACATTTTCTTCATCTGGGCACTAGTTGGAGGTGTGTGGTGAACTTCACGCCCCGGCCACTTTACCTCCGGGGAAAGAACCACCGGTACCCATTGGATAGGATGTTGGGTGGGCCCCAGAGCCGGTCTGGACGATGTGGAGAAGTGAAAATTCTTGCCCCCATTAGGACTCAGCTACCCCATCCCCACACAGATACGATGGGTATTTTGATTAAACTGTCGCAGACAGCCGACAGTTAAGTGTTTCCGGGCATGGAGGCTGGGCGCACGGCTAACAGGCCCTCGTAATAGAAACTAGAATTGTAAAAAAAAAATTCATACAGATTTTTCTGGCACATCTGACTGCCTTAGGATACGGTTTAATTGGCGAACCAGCAAGGAACCATTAGGTTCCGTAAAACGAGGAATTTATATACTAAGAATTTATTATGTTAATTGGATATACAATATTTGTTGGTTAAATTCTTTCCAGAAGCTGATGTTGAGTATTACAGTGCGGTATTAGGTTGAGAGCCGGTCACGGTAGCCGAGCGGTCTAAGGCATGTACTGTCTTCCCTAGCTCAGAAGCCGGGATTCGGATTCAAATCCCACTCAGGGCATGGATGTTAGTGTTTATATGTGCGTTTCTCTGTGCTTGTATACATGTAGAGGCCTTGCTACGAGCTGATCTCCCACCCAAGGAATCCTACCGAATGTCTTAAGATCTAGTAAACCGAAGTGAAACGGAGAGTTTCATGGAGGTAGGCCAGGGTCCAAATTGGGGCTGTAGCGCTTACGTAAAGTGGCAGCTCGAGTATATCCGTTGTAACGAGCGCTCTGCTTAGCCACGAAGCCTCTTCTAGAGAGCTGGGCGTTGCTTGTATAATTTCTTTGATGAAAAGATGTGATGAATTATTTTTTACTAAAAAAAGTAATCGGTCGAAAACTTAAGTTTCATGCACGAGTGTTTATCTAGAACGTGAGCGGTGGTGACTAGCCTGGATGTCTAGGGAAAGAAATACAGTGCTGTATCTTGACGGAATGGTCAGTCATTCACAGTGGAAGGGGGAAAGATGCGAGGTCATTGGTAGCAGACGTGAAGTAGGCGAGGCACAGGAAAAAGTACAAGCAGCTGAAAGTAACGGAACATTCTAAGGGTATTCTTTTGCCTCGTTTTTGTTTCCTATTGTATTGAGCAAAGCTGATCTACTCGTAGCACACTGAACAGTGGCAGTTGACTGTCTATAGTTCGGTGAGTGAAGTTGCGTACCTCACATCGGCAGTGCACTAACACGATACATGATGGAACAATACAAAGGAGGAACTAATTATTATGGTAAAAGCTTACACCAGGTTCGACACCAAGACCACATGGATCGGGTGTGTGGGCCCATAATGCACTCAGAATGATACAAATCTAAGAACAGGGCGGTCTTCCATATTATAACGCCGTATATTTCTAAAAGAACCCGACGTTTCTAAGGAACATCGCTTCCATCTTCAGGGTCAAAGATAAGGTAAAAAATGAAGTTCCTGTGTTGGGTGAATGGAGGTATAGCGCCACCATACTTGATCTCGGAACTAGATAGTGAGTAATTAGAATCATCAAGTCAAGGAGGAGAAGGTGGGGCAGGACATGTAGCACGAATGGGGGAGAAGAGGAATGCATATAGGATATTTGTGGGAAAGCCAGAAGGGAAGAGACCACTGGGCAGACAAAGGCGTAGGTGGGTCGACAATATTAAAATGGATGTTAGAGAGGCAGAATGGGATCGTGTGGATTGGATTGATATGGCTAAGGATATGGACTAATGGAGGCTCTTGTGAACACGATAATGAACCTTTGGGTTCCATAAAATGCTGGCAAAATTCTTGAGTAGCTGCAGAACTGGCGGCTCCTCAAGAAGGGTTCAGCTCTATGAGTAAGTAACTAAGTAGTCACCTTCACGCTTCGGCCGCTTTGCTCCTGAGGAAAGAACCCTCGGTACCCATCGGTTAGGCTGGGTGGGCCCCAAAGCCGGTCTGGACATTTCTAAGAAGAGATAAATCTCTTGTCCCTGCTAGGCGTCGAAGACCTGGGTCAAAGAGTAAATCATGCGAGAAACGAGGAGGAGGAGGGGACGCGGCGGCACAACTGAGAAAGAACCCAAACCCCCAATATTCACACGAGATGGAATCGGTTTGAAGCTTGAACGTTCTAAAGTTCCCTACACGCCTTGCAGTATGTGTTTAAGTTAATAGGAGATTTAACTCCTTTATTGGTGTTTTTAAGACATGAGAAAACCGGGGTTTCCGTTTACACACTCTGTTTCCGCAGACCGCCTCTGTGGTCTAGTGGTCACAGTTCCTGGCTACAGATACATAAGTCCGTGTTAGATTCCCGGCGCTACCAGATTTTCTGAGAAGTAGTGGGTCCACACAGACTCGTGAGAATAATTGAGTAACTATTTCAAGGAAATAGCGGCTCAGGTCTAGAAAACCGAGATTGACGGCCGTGGGGATTCGTTGCGCTGACCACGCGACACCCTCTATCCGCTAAAGTTGGCACTAAGTTCGCCGACAAGCGGCGGTCGCTCGGTCGGTATAGTTCGCTTGCGGTCTATAAAACCAGTGAGTTTGTTGTTTCTGTTCTGTTCCCGCAAAAGAACGTCAATGTCTTTACGTATATTCTTTTACGGAGGCGCAAGGATGGTCACATTAACGGAGAACATTCCCACATCTGCTGTAATCTGGATACGTTTTATTTGTGAGCTGGGCTGTGGGCTTGTCGACCCCTCTAAGCTGGAAGAGCGTCACTCTTCAGCTTGAGCGCCATGACGATCGTACTATAGTTCAACCACCTCAGTTAGCTCGGCAGGCCCCGAGAACCCTTGCTGATTCATCGGACGCTAACAAAACTTGGTTTTTAAGAACGAGCTCCAATGACTCATTCGCTCCGAGATGATAAGTACATTCCTCTTCCACAGATCAGAGCGATGGCCATGTTGTGGGATATAAGACCGCAGATCCAGGTCACGCTGTACCTCCTTCTGCTGGCCAGCACGTTAGCAGAGAATGGTGTTCACATTCGATCGAAGTACAACCAGCTGGTCACCTCCAGCACCTTGCAGTGGGTGGCGGCAGAACGAGGGTCGTACCCGGAAAATGCTGTGGTTGGAGCTCATGAAATCGTTGAAGGTATGTTGTTATTTTTGTTCCGCTGATGGATTTTTGTATTTTAATATGCGTACAGCGTAGCAAGTATTTTCTTCGCAGTGACAACCCTCTCGTAGTCTGTGGTGAGAATATAATATAGAAGGGTAGTATTGGGCCACTTACTGACATCTGATTGGGTGGTCTCACATGGCGATTCGGAAAAATTGATAAATTGTCCAGTCAGATACCATGAACCCACTTGCGTCGCGATCTTTCGTACGAAAATTTATTTCTGTGTATATTATTATTATTATTATTATTATTATTATTATTATTNTAATAAAGAATTGAATTGAATTGAATATCATCTTCAGGAGGAAATTAAGAGGAGATTGAACTCGGGTAATGCTTGCTACCATTCAGTCCAGAACCTTTTGTCTTCTAGTGTGCTGTCTAAAAACACAAAAATTAGAATATACAAAAATAATTTTGCCTGTGGTTGTGTTTGGGTGTGAAACTTGGGTCTATGACATTAAGGGAGGAACATGAGAACAGGGTGTTGAGAATATTTGGATCGAAGAGAGATGAAGTGACAGGATATTAGAGAAAACTGCATATTGAAGAGCTTCATAACTTGTACTCTTCTCCAAGTATAATTAGAATGATCAAGTCAAGGAGGATGAGGTGGACAGGGCATGTAGCACGAATGGGGGAGAGGAGAAATGCGTGTTGGATATTGGTGAGAAAGCTGGAAGGAGACCACTAGGAAGACCAAGACGGAGGTGGGTGGACAATATTAAAATTGATCTCAAACATATAGGATGGGAGGGTGTGGATTGGATTGATCTAGCTCCAGGATATAGACCACTTGAGGGATCTTGTGAACACGGTAATGAACGTTTGGAAGTTCTTAAGTATCTGCACAACTGGCAGCTTCTCAATAAGGGCCCAGCTCCGTGAGAGAAGCTGCCAAAGCAACCGACTCCACAGCTAGAACACTCTTTTTGAATAGGAAGAATTTCTGACCATGCCTTCCTAATGTGTTTTCTTTTTCCCTGCGGTAGTCAGTGGTGAAGTAGACAGCGCTGGAGGAGAGGGGCAGGCAGACGTGAAGAAGCGCCCCGTGGTTGTGTGCCGGGCAAATTACAACGGTATGTGGGTATCTGGGGAGCTTCGACCAGAATTGAAGTCATGCGTCGTGGCCCCTTTGGGTGCCAAGAAGAACTATGAGCGCTATCAGGTGCTGCAGAATGTGGACAACGGAGCCAGGTTGGATTGGGTCCCGTGGAACAAATTTGGCTTGGTCCCCACGGGAGCTGTAGCGTGCGGAAACGGCGTTGAGACGTTTGTAGCACGGCACAAAGTCATTACCAACGAAGAGAGCAACACGGCTGATGACACTGATGATTCCGGTACGGTCGGCTTCACCCACCACGTCGGAAAACTGGACTCCAATGCCGGCCTCGGCAAAATCAGCATTGTAAACAAGGTAAGGAGTGTAGGATTTGAAGTTATGTAGAGTTCTGTCTTCTGTTAATGTGAACTGATGTGTCGGAGAACATGTTGCTTCTGTCTTCAGGGTAGTAGTGTAAGCCAAGCAAGAAACGAGCAGGAAATGACCTGCTTGTTCAAGGTAGTTGCGACGTGTTCCTCGGAAACGTCGGCTGACTTTCAGCAGACCACCAGAACTCTTTGAGGTAATGAGGAACTGGAACAGATTATGATGTAAGACCCGCAGACACGGGTATTTTTCAGTTTGTCACTCCGTCCGGACTGGCATGCGGTCGGATTGTGAAGTACCATCTGTTGAGGTAATTAACTTCACGCATGCGCCCTAATCGTTCTTCTTGTACACAGTAACCTTTATGTAAATAAACCAAGGATATACATTATGAATGTTTGAGAACAGGGTGTTCAGGAGAATATTTGGACGGAAGAGAGATGAAGCGACAGGAGGCTCAAGAAAAATGCATAATGAGGAGCTTCATAACGTGTACTCTTCACCAAGTATATGGAGAATGAGGTGGGCAGGCATGTAGCAGGAATGGGGGAGAAAAGGAATGCATGTAGGATATTGGTGGGAGAGCCAGAAGGAAAGAGACCACTGGGAAGACCAAGGCGTAGGTGGGATGTTATATGTATGGATTGGATTGATCTGGCTCAGAATAGGGACCAGTGGAGGGCTCTTGTGAACACTGTAATGAACCTTCGGGTAGCATAAAATGCTGGGAAATTCTTGAGTAGATGCACAATTGGCGGCTTCTCAAGAAGGGCTCAGCTCCATGGTATGTAAGTAGGGCCGCGCCATAGCTCAAGCGGTTAATCGCTGGCTTTCCACCGCGGCGGCCCGGTTCCATCCCGGGTGTGGTCAAGTAGGATTTGTGGTGGACAAAAGTGGCGCTGGGGCAGATGTTCTCCGAGTACTTCGGTTTCCCCTGCCGATCTTCATTCCACCAATTGCTCCACAATCACCCTCACCTATCATCTAGGGCTGGTACAATAGGCCAGAAGTGACCGCAGTACAAGGGACTTAGTCCCACCCCACTAGCGACAAAAAAAAAGTAGGTATATACGTTATGAATATCCTTGTTACGTGATTTTCTGTAGGCCACTCGTGTCTGTTAGGTCTTTTAGATACGGAGTTTGAACAACATAGACCTTAATTATACATTGCAGTGGGGCCACCATGGTAGCCCGGATTTAGAAGGTACTTCGCACCAACACACAACATGTATGCCAGATTTGCTTTTTCTTTTTGCTTTTTGTAAGTTTGGAAACGAAGACGTGGGTATGAAACCGCCAAAACAGCGTGTATTTTTCAAATTTAAGTGAAGTGGTGACAGTCTTTCAGATAGATCTCCACAGTTCATCATTCAGATATTGAGCCGGAATGTTCTGTGTGCAGAACGGCGACAAGGAGGAATTCTCGGACGGGGAGGTGCTCGTGGAGACCGAGCCTGTCCGTTACGAGCTGATGAGCCTCAAGTTCGATCCGTGGAGGAAGAAAGTGGTGCGGAAGCCCCGAGTGCTGGCCAAAAGCGTGTTGAGTAACACAGGAGCCGCATTCCCAATTCGCGTGGATTCTGCTCTGGCCTACGACAGCGAGTATTCTCTGTACTGGGGGCAGGGCAAGGCCATCCTGAAGGGTCTTCCTACGACAGTGAGGTCTGCTAATGGTACGCTTATCGGTGACGTCAAGTGGGGAATGCCAGAGAATGAGGAACGCAAAGACGTATACAGGTAAGAGCTGGGCATTTCAGGCTCTGCGCTTCAAAGAACTTAGTGTCAAGATATTTAAAAATATAAGTAGCATTTGTTTGTGCTTTCCCTTGTGATAGGACCGAAACAGAAGAGGTGCAGGTATACTCCATAGCGTAGTACACAGTTACCACCAGCGGCAGTCTTTGTAGTTCATTAAACTTACATGTAAAATTTGATAAGTGCTCACGATGAACACTAAGATTCATTTGTGACCTTGAGTAAAATGGAAAAATCGGAATTGTTCAACAGCTTTTGGCGAAAGTCTTCCGTGTTAAGGGGGCTTGAGGCAGTATGCTACAGGCTGGAAGGTCGCGCATTCGTATCCCGATGGGGTCATTGGATTTTTCAATTGACCTAATCCTTTCAGCCGTGTTATGGCCCTGAAGTCGACTGAGCCTATAACAGAAATGAGTACAGGAATCTTCCTGGGAGGTAAACAGAGGCCGGCGCTTAAAGCTGACCTAACCGCCATGTGGGAGCCTAGACCTCTCAAAACCCTATGGGCCTCTACGGCCTGTTACAGGGATACCTTTACTTTTTGCCTTCCGTGTCATATTGTAAGAAAATTGGTATGACTTTGGGCACTGATACTAGATGGCAGTGGATGAACAGACAGACATGGCATTCAACAAATGTGGAACAACGTCCAGTATAAAATGTTACCACAATCAGCCCAGTGGTTCTCAAGTTTTGAGAAGACAGGATAGAAATTCAGTTTCATTCATTATCTTCAAGTATGTAATGCGGAAGACAGTGTATCTGCCTTGACTTTTAGTTGCCAACAGAAACGCGTGTAAACTATTACTTCCGTCCCATTTAAACCAAAATTGTAATTGCGTGGCTGCTGTTGGTGAATTTTCCATATTGAATTAAGCAACTATATGTCCAAGGGCCGCACCATAGCTCAAGCGGTTAGTCGCTGGCTTCCCACCGCGGCGGCCTGGGTTCGATCCCGGGTTTGGTCAAGTGGGATTTATGGTGTACAAAGTGGCGCTGAGGCAGGTTTTCTCCGAGTACTTCGGTTTCCCCTGCCAATCTTCATTCCACCAATTGCTCCACAATCACCCTCACCTATCATCTGGGGCTGGTACAGTAGACCAGAAGTGGCCGCAGTACAAGGGACTTAGTCTCACCCCACTAGCAATAAAAAAAATGGATGTCGAACGGCTTAGGCGGAGAACCCAGTAACAGATACGTAAATGTGAAAATCATGTCTCACATCTGTACCGCTTCTATGTGAATTTAAACGTGTCACATATTCACTTCTCAGCACACTGGTGAGAATTGCACCTCAGCGTCTTGGCCACACCAGTGCCTGGAAACGCATAGTGATTTTAATTTGTTTGTTCCTGTTTGTCGTTTCCATAGGGTGGAGTACGTGCTTGAGCCGGGAACAGCCGTTAATGTGACACTTCGCGGGAACCACACCGAGACTGAGGCGCCCTACGTCGGGAAACTTGTCGCGGTCTACGAAGATGCGTACACGAAGGCTCGCACTATCCATGGCAACCGGCGAGAGGTAGCAATGCGAGATGTTAAACCCGAGTTTGGACCCGTCTATTTCATCGTGAACAACACAGTAGTACCGACTACCACAACCACAACTACCACTACCACGACGACGACAACAACAACTGAAGCACCCAACACCCTTCCTGCCCAACAGAAGAAATCAAAAAAACCTTTGGATGAAAACAGTGATCACGTGGTAAAACCAGGTGACTCACAGAGTATGATGTCAGATGAAAGTGGGGCACACTCACTCAAAAACAAGCAAGAGAGAGGATTCGCTGGGTCTGGAAGCCTGAACAGAGCTGGGTCATCCGTAACATACACTGTCAGTGGGGTGTTACTTTTCTTCATGTACACGGAGGTTGCCCGAAGGATAACATAGATGGACAGAACTTGACAAGAAATCCGATCCACGACCTAGATCATGTGTGTTGTATGAATGTGAGGGGATGAGCATGTGACGAATGGAACAGCTGTACCTGTGTTCACTGTACATACACTTCAAGACAGATAGCTTAATATATTCAGACATTCCTATTCCTCCTCATATTTTCCTTCCTCTTCCCACTTGTATATATATTATAATTATGTACATAAATGTAATAAGAGTGAGGGATTCAGGTTTTTTTTGTAAAACATGATGGATCCAGATGGTTACAGCTAACTAATTGGCCTTTCTTGATGCTACTGTTCAGCATATTACGTGATACATTCATCTCAATAATGTATAGTGCTTTATATTGTCACAAGAGGAGAGGGACGTTAAGAATAAACATTCTGTACAAGAAATTGAAAACTGTAATAAGATCAGGTGCAGTAAGTAAGTAAGTTAAGAGTCTAAACAGACCATCTTATATAACATGGTTAAGTACAATAGAGAATTGTATCTCATTTACATTCCATACAAAGTTGAATTTGTGTACTATTTACTCACTCCTTATAACCAAGCTACTAAGGATGACATGAACCCGCTAGCAAGTACCAATAGTATGAGAGAGTATAATGTGAATATTTCTAAAGCTCTTTCTAAAAACTGACAATATGCAGGTGTCCTAAAGACTGGTAAAGGTTCTAATACAGCAGTTTGAATCTTCAAGTTCTTATATTAATGGCTCTTAAGAATACGGTAATGAACTTTTGGGTTCCATACAGTTTTGGGAAATTGTTCAGTAGCTGCAGATTTGGCGGCTCCTGAAGAAGGGCTGGGCTTCGTGAGTAAGTAAATAATATATTAATAATGATTGACTGAAACCAACATAGTTTGGTAGAAGTATATATATGTGAATCTGTTTTAAAGTAAGCTGAAAAGGATTCTTTGGCAGGTAAAATAAACGTAAAAATTCTTCATATTGGTTGTACTAGTCTCAAAATTATATTATGAATGGTATTACAGCAGCATAATTCGACAAATGTGATGATATTACGTATATTTTGTAATAATTACGGCTAATGGACGTTTGTGTGATTCTCTGTACCAAAGAGAAGTGGAAACATGGCGGTACTTCTCTTTTCTTATGTAAAAACAATATACTTGAAGTTAAATAAATGCTGCAGGAATTCAGTAATTACCTCGTTGTTTTACTGATGCAAGTTATGTGTAATTAAGCAGGTTGGTCAAGTGGTAATGCTCTTGGCGGTTTTTTTTAATTGGTAGTGGGGTGGGACTAAGTCCCTTGTACTACGGCCACTTCTGGCCTATTGTACCAGCCCGGGATGATAGGTGAGGGTGATTGTGGAGCAATTGGTGGAATGAAGATTGGCAGTGGAAACCGAAGTACTCGGAGAAAACCTGCCCCAGTGCCACTTTGTCCACCAAAAAACCCACTTCACCAAACAAGAAATCGAACAAGGGCCGCCGGGGTTGGAATCCAGCGACTAACCGCTTGAGCTATGGCTTGCATTCCGGGAGGTGCTTAGTTGGAATCTCCGCCAAGGACAGTGGTTACAATGACAGGTTCTTCATCTTTTTCCTCAGTTCCTCCAAATGCTGGGATGTTCCCTCAGCCTCGTGAGGATAACTGAGGAGCTATTTGAAGGAAAGAGTGGCTCCGGTGTAGACACCCGAGATTATCAACCGTGGGGAACCGTTGCACTGATCACATGACACCCTCTATCCGCAAAAGTTGGCACTAACTTCGCTGACAAGCGGCTGTCGGTAGGTAGGTATAGTTCGCTTGCGGACTACAGGCCACGGAGTTTATCAATCTTACAGTTGAGTGAACAGTAAATAAGTTCCCTGTTCTTGAGAAACGCGTGCTCAGTGTTGGACATTGGACATCAATCGATTTAATAAAGCCAGATGTAAACGGATTGAGCGAGTCTTCGATCGCCCAGCAATTTATGTGACTTCTATATGATATACAGGCATATATATAAACACGACAACTTTTACCCGCAACTATTAATATTAGGCATTTTAGGTGTTAACAAGCCTTGTCTTCTACAGTGAGAACTTGGCTTCCTGCAAAAGTTATCAAGAAACATCCACAGTACAGCACGAACACATTATTCTACAAGCTAGACCATCGGTGTTCGATTCCCGGTTGATGCAGAAATGTTTGTGTTTCTCACCGTCTCGCGACCGCCTCTAAGGCCCATCCCACCTCCTATCGAATCGGTACTGTGAACTTCCCAAAAGGATAAAGCGGCCAGGGAAGGAGACTGATGGAATACCCACTTCCCCCCATACACCTTCATTACGTGGTGCATAACTGAGCACAGGAACAACTTTACGCATTCACACGTGACGTAGGATAAATTAAAAATTCTTGCCCTACAGTTACATTGATACCTCCACAGCTCGAAACCTTTGCTATTAACTACCTTTACATGTGCCTCTGTAGTAGCAGTTTGTGACGTCCGCCGATCTACAGAAACTACAGTGCAACGAGAAACGGCGAGCACAGCAAAGAAACAAACCGTGCTCTCCAACAGTACGAACACAAAGAGGTGAGATATCCTTTCCGTAAGCTGTCTCAGCAAACTAGGCACCTGCTGCGTTGCTACACAAAGCTTATGAATTAAGTTCACTGTTAAATTGCATCAGATTAATTACACATCTATCTATGGCTCTACAGCCCTTTGATGGGCCTTGGCCACTTTCTCTATTTCGTGTTCTTTTACATAGTCGGTAGGACTCCCTGGACGGGGATCAGCTCGTCATAAGGCCTCTACCTACATACAGCACAATGGGATTTGTGGTGGCCAAAGTGGCGCTGGGGCAGGTTTTCTCCGAGTACTTCGGTTTCCCCTGTCAGTCTTCATTCCACCAAATTCTCCATCATCATAATTACCTGGGGCAAGCTACAATAGGCCAGTCAGTGGACCCAGCTGGACTCCACCCCCCACTAAGCGAAAAAATTTTACATATATCACAAACGGAATAAACGCAAACAAACATCCATGCCTGAAGTGGGATTGGAACCCACGATCTCGGCGTTTAAGCGGGCGAAGAGGGTTCATGCCTTACTTAGACAGCGCGGACACTGTGATCGGCCAGTTGCACCCCCCTGAGACCCCGAATTTAAGGTACGAGTATAATTTCTATTGTTACAGAAAAAAATGGCACATCTTTCATAGCTAACAGATGGCCGATGTTTCCCTCACAGATCTGTTCAAACGGGCTAACATCTCCGAGCGACATATAGCGAGCATAGCATCAAAAGTGTTGTTATTATTATCGTGGGGTGAGGCTGTGTCCACTTGGTACTGCGCCCACCGCGCACTATTATGCGAGGCCCACATTATAGAGATTGTGGAGCAATAGGTGGAATGCGAATTGGCAGGGAAACCGAAGTACTCGGAGAAAACCTACCACTTTGTCCACCACAAAACCCCACATGACGTGATCCGGGCTGGAACCCAGGCCGCCGCGGTGGGAAGCCAGCGACTAACCGCCTCAACTATGCCACGGCCATCAACAGGGCTAATTGGATTTCTAAACTCACTGTTGTTCCTACTCAGCAGCAGAGAACTCATATAATTTTCGCATTTAAGAGAAAGATGAGGTATCCATAAATAAAATCAAAGTTGCTCAGTCGTGTAGCCTTATTACGCTTGCACAGTCAAAGCTCAATCTTGGGGCAAACTTAACTCATTAATGAGTCTGGCAGCTTCAGATTACAGCGGCACGTGTTTGGGTGGGGGGGGGGNGCGTGCCGCTCACTGCCGCGTTCCTCCAGACGTCACGTGCAGTGGCGTGGAGAGCAGAACCGGTCGTGTTAACTCGGGCTTGGGTATAGAGTTATGAGGTTTAAAAATAAACAGCGTATGCAGGAAAGTTACAAGATAAAGTGTTCATGTTGTGAGGCAAATTATACTTAAGGCTTACAGTTAAACTTACAAGGTCTGAATAAGCTCTAGAGGTTTGTGACGATGGAATATTAAAACAGTTATTGTGTTCTTTTTATTGCTACTGGGGTGGGACTAAGTCCCTTGTACTGCGGCCACTTCTGGCCTATTGTACCAGCCCCAGATGATAGGTGAGGGTGATTGTGGAGCAATTGGTGGAATGAAGATTGGCAGGGGAAACCGAAGTACTAGGAGGAAACCTGCCCCAGCGCCACTTTGTCCACCACAAATCCCACTTGACCAGACCCGGGATTGAACCCGGGCCGCCTACTGGGTCCACTCGGCACGGCGGCCACTGATTGACCTATTGTACTTGCCCCGGGTGATTATGATGATGGAGAATTTGGTGGAATGAAGATTGGCAAGGGAAACCGAAGTACTCGGAGAAAACCCGCCCCAGCGCCACTTTGTCCACCACAAATCCCACTTGACCAGACCCGGGCCGCCGCCGTGGGAAACCAGCGACTAACCGCTTGAGCTATGGCGCGGCACAGTTATTGTGTTCCTGGACATTATCCACTGTCTTGTGTTTATTTAAAACACTACGCTTCGGAGAGGATTCTGTCTCCGTCTTTAGGTGGAACCTACTCAGTTGGGGCCAATCGATATAGCCCCTATCTCCAGACAGTACCGCCAACTTGGTTTATATATCCTACATGCCGGCCGCCGTTTACTCTGAAGAAGATTCCTGGTACTCATTTTTGTTAGAGGCTAAGGCGACCCTAGGGCCATAGTGCGGCTGGAAGGATTGTCAACTGAAAAATCCAGTGACCTCATCGGCAATCGAACTCATGATATTCCGGCATGTAGCATAGTGCCTCAACCAACTACGCTACAGCGTGCACCACTAGATATTGTTAGGATGATTAAATCAAGAATGAGATGGACGAGGCGTTTATTGCATGATAGGGATACGAGAAAGGTATACAAAATTTTTGTCAGAAAACATGGTGAAACTTAGAGAAGTATTGTGGGAAGTTGTGGCTAACATTCATCTGGCTCAGGACTGGAACCAGTGGCTGGCTATCGTGAACGGTAATTTACGTAAGATGTTATGGCATGAGGGGAATCTATTCCAAAACTGAACGACTATTACCTTCTGAAGGTCTCTGCTTCCCAGAGTTAGCTAATCAATACAGACTATATTTATTATCCCTACAAAGAATTATAAAGTTTCTAATGCAGCAGAAGTTGATTTATATTTGATGTAAGACCGCCTCTGTGGTCTAGTGGTCAGAGTTCCTGGCTACCGGGTTCGATTCCCGGCACCACCAGATTTTTTTAAAAGTACTGGGTCTGGAACGGGGTCCACCCAGCCTCGTGATGATAATTGAGGAGCTATTTCAAGGAAATAGCGGATGCGGTCTAGAAAACCGAAATTAACGGCCGTAGGGATTCGTTGCGCTGACCATGCGACACCCTCTCTCCGCTAAAGTTGAAACTAACTTCGCCGACAAGCGGCAGTCGCTCGGTCGGTTTAGTTCGCTTGCGGATTAGAGCCACGGAGTTTGTTTATATCTGTTCACTCTGCATTGGCCTACATGGGTGATGTGCATCACACGATATCCAAGGGAAATGCGGATTTCAATGTACTGAACACACATTTACAGATACACATAACATAGACTGGACGCCACTGCATCGACTGAGTAACGTGGCCCTTTGGCAGTTTCTAACGTTAGGTCTGGCAGCTATAAGGGGAATTCTGGACAGACCGGTCGGCGACGCGTTTCGCGAGGGAAACGAACTGCCAAGCTCGCAGTCAGTGTGTTTATTTCCAAAGTCCGCCATAATGTCCTTGACTTGACGTCTCCAGTCTGACACTTCGGTTTTAATTAAAAATTATATTCACTGGCTTCAAGCAATGACTCAGCAATGTCCTCCGATTACCCACCGTGTCATGAATCGAGCACTTTAATGTAGCGACAAAGAAGGTAAAGTTATCCTTGTGTTTAAATAATTAAGAATCACGCATGAAGACATAGGTGGAGTGGATATATTTTTTTTTCCTTGGCACTACAGCCCCAGTGGGCCTAGGCCTACCTCCATGAACTTATCCGTTCACTTCGGTTTTGTCTAGATCTTACACATTCGGTAGGACTCCTTGGGCGGGTGATCAGCTCATCACAAGGCCTGTACACAAACACAGAAAAACGCACACACACAAACTAAACATGCATGCCCTGAGTGGGATTTGAACCCAGGATCCCGGTTTCCA